CGGGAAGATAATTTATTAAGTAAGGTCTATTAATCTTGGATTAGCTATTAAAACAATCCATTTAACGAAGAAGATTGCAAACTATATGGCAGGATGGGATGAAATTAGTTTAGTAACTGATGTTGGTTGGTTCCTTTTCCTACATATAAATGTATTGGTTTATTAAATATCATGTATTCCTATCCCTTTGCTTAATGTGTTTGTTTAATTTTACCGTTAGAGGGCAAAAAACCCTCCTGCCCTTAATATTTTTTTGGGTTTTTTTTTTTTTTCTGCTTAGCTATTAATTTCATCTTTCCTTTATGGTGATATTGCCAGGGAGTAAACTTATCGATAATCAACAACAGAACACTACACAGTTATGCATGGTAGCTGTTGATGATTTTTTTCTTTTTGCCATATATTACATTATTTTTTTAATCCATGCAATTTTAAATTGAAAAAAAAAAATTCACACACAATCCGGGCAACGCCCACTAGTTATATCTTATGATAGGAGACGTCACGCGCATTTGATTTCATTAGTCCTTATGAATCTTATACTAGTATTCACCATGTGGTCGTGGTTTTCCTTTGAAAAATATTAAGAAAAAAAGATTGAAAATTATTTCGTACAAATTAGCAAATCAATGTTTTTCGAATTTAAAAGTAGCAAATCAATGTTAACTCGTGAAATCACATTTCATCAAAACGCAAGTTATCATTTCATTTTTAATCCCCATCCACAGTATTTCATGTTACATCTGTCCATTCCCTTTAAAAAAAAAAGATTTATTTTACGTTAGAAATGATAGCGATGATGCACAACTTCAAATATTTTAGTACCAAAGAAAATATAGGTAATATATATACGGTATGTGAGATCTTCTATAGCGACATTCGCATTGGGTCATCTCCCATTAAAAATGATGAGGTTTTATCTTTTCCGATAAAGTTATTCGAGCTAATTAAGGAAATAGATGGAACAAGGGGAGCCAAAAATGTCAAGGTCCACGTCAATTTTCCTCCCATATTGTTTTCGTTGTAAATATCTTTTATCAATCTGTAAAGCAGCAATTCAACAAAAATTCAATCCATTGATAATTGAGAATGTTCTAGTTTGTTTTCCTAACAGTTAAAAACAATGAAAAGGTTTACCGCTTTTTCTTGAGAAAAATATAAAATAATATCTAAAAAAGATTAAGCACCCCGAAAATTCCGATCAATAAAATTTCATATATATGATCGGTTTAAGACTTTGAGTCACGGTCCAATAACACAACAAGCATGTCAATTATTTTAGGACATGAGAAAATACACATTACGTCTGAAATTAACTACTACCTCCGTCTCAAAAAAATAGTCAAAACTCAATGTCGACTATTTTTTCGAGACGGGGGTAGTAGTTAATTTCAGACGTAATGTGTATTGAGTAAAAAATTCAAAACTCAATGTGGATTTTTTTTTGGGACGGAGGGAGTACTATTTATCAGATTAGTACAAACTTTGAGTTACTTTTCTTTTCAAGACATTGATAAATGCTGTTGGAAATTTTAGTTTGTAAAATAAAATAATTAATTTAGAACTTAAAGATAATAATCAAGTTGGCAACCCTTCACTTGTATGGTGGTTATTTCTTACAGGCTAATGGTTGTATACTTAATTTGTATCATTTGTTTCTACAAGTGTTGCCTATAAATAGGTGAACTAGTGCAGAATTTTGTTTTAACTTTTGCATTCCTAAATTCTTGAGAATATTCAATAATTGCAAGTTGCATGTTCTTGTGTTCTTTATGTCCTAGAGGCAAATTGCCAAACAAACCCGGTATTGCAACATGGAGGGGGCAAATATTGTCTTAAGGACAGTGTCTAACATGATTAGAACACATCCAAATCTTTTGATTCCCCCATTATTGTTAGATTCAAGTTTCTAACAATAAAGTTCATAAATCTTTCATCTTTATTCTTTAGTGTCTTTCGTGTTATCTCTTTGATTACCACCCTCATATACTTTCAATCTTAAGACAATATTTTAGCCATGGATTGATACAAGTATTTAAGGAGACTAGGATCAAAGATGGTTAAAAGCAATGAAGATGGATCTTACAACATAGAGATTTTTGGGTGTGCTCAAAATGGTTTCCCTACTGTTTAGTTCCGTAGTCAAGTTCTGAAGACAGATCTAGAAAGACCTAGAGTATACTCAAGCGAGTATACAACAGATAGGTTTCTGATTTATATATACATTAACTTTGTGTTAAATGTTTTCTCTGAAATTACAAATTCATAGTAAATTAATCCATGATGATAATTTAAAAGTTTGTAGATTTGTGTTTTAATTTAAAAGTTGGTATTCTAGCATTAGTGATCATAACCCGTTAGTGGTTAGAAATTCATGCTTGCTAGTGAGATATGTTTCTTGATAAGTGAAATAGACAATAATCACTCTCTCCAAGAAAAGAAAGCTACATTTGTTGAACTATCTTCAGTACATAAGGAGGTGAAGTGGCCAAAGGGCCCTGGCCTGTGTCGCCTGTAATCTTGTGTTGTGATAGTTAGATTAATATATCTTGGACATTGTGTAAAATTTGACAATGGGTAAATATAGACATATTAATTAAAGATATGTATCTCTTAGTGAGATACAAATGTTGATGTTGTCAGTGTTGTGTTTGTGAAAACACAATTTTGTTATGGATCCATGTATCAAATCTCTTGCGAGAGAATTGGTGTTTTTTGACAACATGAGGAATGGGAGTAAAATCTCAATACTAAAATCACGAATAATGGAAACCCAACTTTCTTCTAGTACTACTCCTAGATTGCAAGGTTTGAAGGGTAACAACAAGTTGATTTGTGGTTGTGAGCACCAAAATTCGTGTATACCATTCCAAGTATTAGTGCATTATATATGTTACTCTTAAGTGAGCAGGTTGAGAGAAATCTCTTAATGAAATTACTCCTGAGCGTTTAATTACGGTAGAGTAATAAACTGGAATAACTTCCACCTATTTGATCATAGAGGTGGTGCCGCTTCTAGCAAAAGTTTGAAATTATCTTTTGTATATGATCAAGAATCTAGGATGAGCACATGGCCGGTAATCGTGCTAAATCATAATGTGAATTATAAGGAATGCTATGGGTTTTTGTGCGTGCATTATTAAGTCTATACTAGATTGATTATTGGCTTAAGCAACGAGCCACCAATAACTTAGCTAGTTAGGTGACTTAATTTCACTACGATGTGGTTTAAGACAAAAGTTACCACCTCTTAAGCGTGATTCCCATGATTGTATAATTATTTTATATTAGAAACTAAGTGGGGGAATGTTGAAAATTTTAGTTTGTAAAATAAAATAATTAATTTAGAACTTAAGGATAATAATCAAGTTGGCAACCCTTCACTTGTATGGTGGTTATTTCCTACAGGCCAAGGATTGTGTACTTAATTTATATCCTTTGTTTCTGCAGGTCCTGCCTAAAAATAGGTGAACTAGTGCAGGATTTTGTTCTAACTTTTGCATTCCTAAATTCTTGATAACATTCAATAATTGCAAGTTGCATGTTCTTGTGTTCTTTATGTCCTAGAGGCAAATTGCCAAACAAACCCGGTATTGCAACATGGAGGGGGCAAATATTGTCTTAAGGACAGTGTCTAACACGATTAGAACACATCCAAATCTTTTGATTCCCCCATTATTGTTAGATTCAAATTTCTAACAATAAAGTTCATAAATCTTTCATCTTATTCTTTAGTGTCTTTTGTGTTGTCTCTTTGATTACCATCGTCATATACTTTCAAATGCACATACGGTATAATCTAGTTTTTGGTAATTTATAAAACTGATTACTGCGTAAATTAAAAGAGACGTCCTTTCACTGCGTAATTTTCTCACGGCTTCAATTCTTACTGAGTGAAAACGCGTAGCAAGATTCTCAAAGGAAAAACTTGTTTGATATTGCTTCTGCAGTTCTACTAATAGGAAAGAGTTCAGAGATGGTAAGGATGTTAGTGCTATAGAATGCAACTCACAATGTCATTGCAATTGGTCCCCTTCGTGAGCAATTTTTCACGTAAAGGGATTAATCTATGCCATGTATTATTTTCTTAAACTAGTTCTCTGTAGCCTCTTACATCTTTGTTTTATGTTTTCGGCAAAGGTAGAAATTGTTGTTGCCTTGTTGTTAGCAACATGATGTATCATCCATGGGTGATTACGAATTTCCATTTTATCTTTGTTGCATTTTAGAAAATCTTCTTCTTTTCTTTGAGTCCACCATACTTTACTTCTCACGAAAAAGAAAATCCAATTTTCGTGCTTCAGTCACATTTTAACTACCACTTTATAACAAAATGATAACACTACTGAAGTCGTGATGAAACCAACAAAGTTATGAAACCTTTTGTGTAAAATATATTTCAACTCTGTTACTATTTTTTACGGTGAAGTTCTCTGTAAAAGTTGATTGAGAAAAGACTCGGTAAAAACGTCTTGGATGCTTCTACTTAATTAGAAGTTCAGCTGAATTTAATTTATTCGTAATCATAAGCATTATTCACGATTCAAGGGTTTCAACTAAATTTAGATTTTGATTTACTCTTAATCATAATTCTCTTTTTTTTACCCCATACTGACTGAAAACAAAAAATCCATATCCGAAAATTACACACAAACAAGCGTGATATTGGACCCACCACGTGACCTACCAGTTCGTTTTGTGTTTTTCTACTGACCTCTCCAATCCCATTGCTTATATATTTTGGTCGGAGTTATTTTACATTTTACCTTCACAAATAGTATTCCGGCAGCTTCATCACTTCCTCCGATCCTCACATTAAACTAGAGAAAAAAGTGCTCTTTTTTTACGGAGATTGAAATTTGTTTTACCACATTTTCCGACTTCGAAGCCAAGGATTCTGATCTGGCTCAGCCTCTTCTCTTTTCCTCTTGATACTATTTGATTTCAACCCTTTTTAAGGTACCTTTCCTCCAGTCTGTTTTGCCAACTTCTCTCCGAAAATGAGTGTGCAACTCTCTTCAAATCCTCCTGTCGGTGTCAGTCCACCAGCACCGCAAAATGCTGCCGGAAACCCACCAGCCGGCGGCCGTCCTCCACCGCCAGTTCGTCCGAACAACAGGCGTGGTGGACGGGATAAAGTGGTTTTTGCTCTATTCTTGGTGATTCTATTGGGCGTTGCCGCTATGATATGCTTGATTCTCCTTGTTCCTTTGCTGGCTCGCGAACGCAAACCAGAGATCTTAATCAATTCCCTCTCTGTTTCTTCATTCAATCTGAATGGTTCCAGCTCTCAGCTCTCAGCCAATTGGACCATGGAACTGCTTGTTGTTAACGTTGATTCCCGCTATCATATTCAGTATGAGAGCTTTGATGTTTTCGTGTTCTACGGCAGGGGATTCGACGACGAATTCTTCCTGGCCAAGGCAAAAGACATCCCATCTTTTGATCAAAATCCCAGAACCGGAACAAAATTAGTCGCTGAAGCACGTGGGCAAAAACAGAACCTCAATTCCAGAGTTGCAGGTTTGATGGTTCCCGAGCAGCACAAGAATGGGTCCATAACTATTGGTCTCCAGTTGCAAGTCCATGTCATTAGTAGCCAATTCCATGGTTATATGATCTTCACTTGCAGTGATTTGAAGGTCGTTCTGTTTCCTCCTCCCTCCTCTGTTCAGACAGGAACCATGATTGGAGGGCCCAAGAAGTTCAATTTGAGAAGCTTTTCTTCATCATTATAATCTAATTATAGTACGTTCGCTCAGGAAAGTAGTCATTATGCCATCTGTCTACTGTTTGAATTGTGATGAATTTGTTGTTATTAAGGTTTGGAATTAAGCTTATTTTCTTCATGAATGTTACTTTGTGTTCCCATTCAATTAGTTCATCGTATGGATTGGTTGATGGCATTCCCCAGTAAAAATTATAAGTCCATTGCAAGCCTTTGAATTATGCAAGTTGAAATTTTTTATACAAGTAGAGAGTGACTAAAACGTTGTACTGATCTTCAAACTGAGATTCCAAAATCGAAAAAAAAAAAAAAAGTGTTGTAGGATTATATGAAATTTCCTAGAAATTTCATTCTTCTGCAAAACCCACTTACCTACGTGATAATCTTGACCAAGCTTGCTTTTTTAAGCTTCAGTTCAATGAGTCTGCGTGAGTTTGTGTTTTCCCCTGATTAGGAAAGTCGACAAAAAAATCCTCATAATAGAGAGTAAAGTAGAACTAATTAGCCCAGCAAGTGGATAATGTAAGCTAGCGTTAACACAAAAATGTTACATTTATTCCGGCATTGTAAATTTCTTGCAATTGCTCAAAATTCAACTGACCTAGTGAAACCAGACTATTTCTCCAATAATTATCATCCTATTTAAAATAAACAGAAAAATTAACATCATCATAACATCATTCATTATCATCCTATTTAAAATAAACTGAAAAATTAACATCATCATTCATTTTGGGACGAAAAAATGTATAAAATTATTGAAGTTCATGGCTTTCTCCGCCTAAAATGTATTGAAGTACGATTAATTAAGCAGATGATCAATTCTCCTCATAAAATTCTCATTACGTACTACTTGGATTATCTCCACAAAAGAAAAAAAAAAAAAAAAAAGACCATCTTGGACCTTTTTTTCTCCTCTGCTCTGACTTCTCAGTTTACTAAAACCTTACTTGAAAAAGACGCCCCACCGAATTGAAAGACACGATTACACACACACACACTCACACACTTGACTGCTCCGCCTAGTGTACCATTTTTTTGCCACCAGGTATTATTTGTTCTTGATTCATATTACAGAAGACTCGAAAACTTCGATTCACGCAAATGGAAATTGTTGAGTCCCCGCCTGGAAAAGTGGCGCCACCACCAAAACCCGCCGCACAACCACTTGAACTCCAGCCTCCTGCCCAAACTTTCACCTGCAAAGTGTGCATTGAGCCCACTGATTTCACGGCAACCCAACAAACCGTCAAGATCCGAAACAAAAACTGTGGGCCTCACCAAATTTGTGACGATTGTATGATTAAATACATTCAAGCTAAGTTAGACGACAACGTGAGCAGAATCCCCTGCCCCGATCTGAATAGCCCCGAGTTTCTTGACCCGAATGATTACCGGGTTCTTGTCGGCCCGATGGCGTTTCTCCGGTGGTCGGATGCACTTTGTGAGTCCACGTTGGTCGGAACGGAAAGAATCTATTGTCTTCACTGTCAGGACCTGATTGTAAACGAGTGTGGCGGGACGGTAAAGAAAGCCAAATGCCCAAATTGCAAGAAATTCTTCTGCTTTAAGTGTAAGATTCCGTGGCACGCCGGATTTAGGTGTGAAGAGAGTGGAGAATTGAGGGATGGAAACGATCGAGCTTTTGGGGTTCTTGCGGAGAGGAAGAATTGGAAGAGGTGTCCTGGATGCCTTCATTTCGTTGAACTCGTCGCAGGTTGCAGAATCGTTAAGTGCAGGTATGATTTCTCCTTCTTGTTTTTCAATTAGCTTAGATTCAGATAAACTTGACCCGAAAATCTTGTGTTCATGGGGTTTTTTCTTAATCAAGGAACAGTTTTAATTTAAGGGCTCAGAGATTCTTAATTTAGCCTCTGTAAATTTTGGGTGAACAAAATGGAAAGGATGGTGCTCTGTTTCAGGTGTAAACAGAGAAGGGATTATTTGTGTTTGAATTAATCATTAGAATGCAAGGGACAAAAAGAAAATACCACATCCTTCTTGTGTTCTTGGCTGGGTTGTCCCTTTGATGATTCTGGGGAACTTCCTTTGTAACCTTCATCTTCATAGTAATGCTGAAATCGAAAGAACTATGGCTGATTTTTGGAAGTCAACTGAATTCAACTTGTAGAAAGAAATCTAGCAGATTTTAATTTTAGGTAATCATATATACAACTTATAAAATGTTGTTTATGGCCTTCTAAGTTTGTGCATTGCTATGGTTGTCTCCTGTTATTTAAAAGTAATTCAGAAAGATCATCAGTAATTTAGTTTATTTCGATTCTAATAAGATACTTATTCTGTTAAACGTCTTAAAAATTGTATCGCAAAGAGACCTATTAAAGAGAGACAGAGGGGGTATTACTATTTTTTAATCCATGATACAACATCATCAACGTATTTACTATTTACTTTGGAGGTTTGGTTTTAGTAAGTTTTTCTACATTTCATTTAGACAGTATCAAAACTACTTCAAATATCTTCGGCCTAATTTTGTTGTCTTGTTGAAATTATTGATATAAAGATATGTGGTTTTTCAATTCATTTTGTTAACATAACCAATGTGTCAACTGTAGATGTGGGGCTAGATTTTGCTATGGTTGTGGCCGTGATTGGAACCTGGGGTGTCAATGTGATAGGATTCCGGCCGTTGAGCAGAATCAAGGCAGTAATTTCCGACGTAACGCCCGAGAATGTTTAGTTGTTTCTGTAATAATTCTACTCTTGGCAAGCACAACTGTTACCATTTTAGGGTCGGCATGATCCTGGCTCGTAATATACCTCCGCCCCAGTAAGGTTCCTCTCCGATGACCATAAAATTGGAAGGAAACTTATAGCTCTAACCATTTTCTCTAGCTCCTTTCATCTGGTACTTGTAGGCAGGTATGAATTATGAACATTATTACAAAAGCGTATGATTCTGATTTAAGATTATATAAGGAGATTGGAAAGGGAAGCTTGGAGTAGTATATATATAGTATATTACTAACGTACGTATAATTCAGCCCCTCATTTTACATCTCAATTTTACTACTGAAAGATTGAACTTCCCTTTTTTTGCTTTTCTCAAAAGCCTCTCGGCAAAATGTTCTAATCATTATATTTAGCTTCGATTTCGGAGAGCGGTTGATCATCGGCGTCCTCATCTCATTAGATGATCATTAATATCATCTTCAATAAATCAAGAAACGCGGTCGCTTCGCGAGCACGAGTTAAAAATTTATCATTTCTTATAGGCATAAATTAGTGAAAAAAAATTAATACGTCCTCTGTCCTAAAATTATTGTCCAGTTTGAAATTTCACTTTTAATACAATTTGAACTAGAAATGAAAACACAAACTGGACAATAATTGTGGGACGGAAGGAGTACCATTTATGGGTGCCTTGCTTTAAAAAATGCCTAGAAAAAGGAGTAGGTAGATATATATATATATATTTTGTGAAGCAAAATACGGAGATCAGATTTACAAAATCTGATCTACTAATTAAATTAGTACATCGGATTTTACAAATCTGATTTAATAAAATAATAATTTTTTTTCAGAAAATACATGTGAAAAATATAAAATGAAAGTCAACTAATGACAAGTGTAAGGTTGGATTTTAGGAATTCGACCTTCTTTATTTTTAAAAAATAAATATAGGCGGGAGATTTGAAAATTAAGAACAGTAAAGGGTCGGATTTTCGGAATCCGACCTATCTTTTTTATGCTTAAAAAATAAATATATGCGGGAGATTTGAAAATTAAGAACAATACAAGGTTGGATTTTTATTTAAGCATACCTTACAGTAGATATCGACATTGAATAGACGTTATTAGCGGGCAGAAGGTCGGATTTTGAAATCCGACCTTACACGTAAATCGGATTTAGGAAATCCGACCTTACTTATAAACTCGGATTTTAGAAATCCGACCTTATTGTGTTATAATGGGACGACGAAAAGCACTATTGACATATCGGGATTTTGGTAAAGGAGGCGATTTCTTGGAGGAGGTAATTTTAGTGGCGATTTGAAGATTTTGTTCACGATTCTTCGCAACGGATGTCTTAAAACCATTTCACAAGAAGGTTAGTTATTGTTTTGATGTATTTAGAATTATTGTTGTTGTTTTCTTTGTAAAAGTGTAGAACTAGGATGATTTATAAGGTTTTAGGGTTGATGTTGGGTGTAGTTGATGATTGTTGTTGTATAGGTAGTATTGAACGTTCAATTTAGTAAAATGCTTGAATTTGGCCTAAACTTTGGAATTTGTAGGGGGTTTAGTAAATTTAGTGTTGATTATGCCTTGTTTGTGGTAATTGTTATAATAAGTTGTTTGATAATGCCTTGTTTGTGTATTTTTTTTAATAATTTGTTCATAATGTGTTGTAATTCCTGTAATCAGCAGATATAAATGGCGTTTAACGGTCCAAATTTCATTAATGTCTATTGGTCGAGCAAATTTGTTGTGAAGAATGAGATTGTGAATACTTTGAACAACATGCCGGACGATTCCTTTGTGACTGATCATAAGGTATTGTACAATGATTTGGTTGGATTGATTTGTGAAAGAGTGGGGTAGAATAGAGAGAATGTGAATTTGAGTCTATCGATTTTTATGATATGATGGGCAATGATTTTAGGCGTATCGCCAAAATCAAGGACGACGCATCGTTGCAAGTGTTGTATTTTCTCCCAAATTCGACATATATTGATTTGTATGTAGATTTGGAGGTGGCGGGTACTTCTAGGTCCCATTTGGAAGTAGTGACAAGTAGTGGTAGGCCGAATGTGGAGAATGTCGATTAAATGGAAGATGATGATGTGGGTGGACCGATTATAGAGGATGGCGATCACATGGAAGATAATCACGCAGAAGATGATGAGAACTACACATCGATAAGTGATCAAAGCAATGAAAACCAATCAATATCCGAAGGAAGTCGGGAGAGTGATGAAGAGGTCGAAGACAAATTCGCCACAAAGGACAGGCACATATATCGTTCACAGGGTACATGGGATCATACAAATGTGGACAAGGATGAATTTCAACTTACGATGTGGGACGGGACAACCGCAACAATCGGGATAGGGACTTGTTTCAAGAATAAGGAAGAAGCAAAAAATGGTATTGCAACGTGGAACATAGAGCAAAAGAGAGAGTTTTATGTGAAGGAAAGTGATGGTTCAACATGGTATATTTGGTGCAAATCCCTAAAAGAGTCAACCCCTAAGGGTTATGTTCATTGGCGTTGGAACATACGTGCCTCCTTGAGAGACCACGGTTTGTGGAAGATTGTAAAATGGGTGTCCAAGCACAATTGTATAAATGTCACCGAGGAAAATAATAATCGGAATATGAGCACAACGCTTATTGCTCATCTCATAAGGCATAAGGTTGAGTTGGACTCGAATTATGAAGTGAAGCTCGTTCAGGAAGAAGTGAAAGACCGTATACATGTCGATGCTCCTTACCACAGGGCATGGGAGGGAAGGAGAAAAGCTATCGATCTTGTTTATGGCATTTGGGTTTCCAATTTTGATATACTTTCAAGGTATTTGCTTAAGTTTTATATTTCTCTCTACTCCTTTTTTTGAACCATTTTTTAACTCAAAAATTCTACCTTTTATGTTCTCCTTATGTTGGGACGAACGGAGTAATATAATTAAATAAAGGACGCATAAGGTGGTCGACTACTTTTATCGATTAACAGAAACTAACTAGTTAACTAATGGGCTTTTGTGAATCTATTCAGCACCACCATTCTAGGATTACTTGAATTTATCATTTTGAAAATGATCAAGGACTTACTCCTCATGATTCATATAATAGAAAAATTATATACTTCCTTTTGCCCACAAAAAGTGTTACTTTCTGGAATTAAAATTGATTAGCAATTTGTTTTTTATACAATCAAAGAGACTAAAAATCTTTAACGAAATTCAAAACTACAACGTTATCTGGGTGGAAAGAGTATTTTTCTTCATTAACGTGCCAAGTTATCCATCAACAATCGGCACATTTGCTCAATACATCTGCTTGTTCATCATATTGGCAGAATCTTGCCTCATAGAATATTGGAAAATTTAGATGATTATACTTTTACAAAGATCGACAGCGAACTTACCATGCATGTTCGTTCTTTTTAACTTTCACATACTTTTGCATCCAATTTTTTTTTTAATAAAAAAAAAGAAAAATTACATCCAACGTTCATTTTTTCTCAAACGCAAATACGTTAATTTCCTCCCATGTTTTGCACGGAGCATGCCGAATGCAGTATTAAGTGAATATAAATAAATGTTAGAATAACATCACTTAATCCACTAATTATTAATATTATCAAATTGGCCAAAATGAATGGTGATAAAAATGACAATCACATAACGGAGCTATTAAAAATGGGACATATTGTATTTAGTGTTTTCAATAATGATGTTTTTCCAAAAAAAAAAATTGGATCTTAATTTGTAGTTTGATCGTCAAGCAATGATTTCTCTTCTTAATTATGTTTTCTATCATTTTTCGAAGAAGAAATTAACTTTATCAAATATTTGCATGCTTTTTTGGTGGAAAACGTAAACTTTATTTACATAATCACAAAAAGTGAGCAAAATGTACAACTTTTCTTGAGTGTCGTACAAACATTACATCACTATTTCGGACCCTTCCTGTTTTGCTTTTATAATCATTAGCCACCATGTCCAGTACCAGTTTACACAAAATCAAAAAAAACAACACATTAAGGAAAAAATTGCGGCAAGATTCTTTCTCTCTATTGGCAGACACCCTGAATTTCTTACGACTCAGGATTCTGGATTTGAGTTTACTCTAAACACGTACACAAGCATTCTCTCTTTGTTTTCAAAATATCTCATATTGCGTTCCTCCCAAATGTGGTACATGCATGTGTCAAAGGTTGCTAAGAACACTTTACTTTTCAACTTCGCCCTTTTCCAATAATTCAGGATTTGAGCTTTCCACCGACATTCATTAGTAGAAATGCTCCTACATCCTAGCCAGTTTCTGACTAATTCCGTCAAATCCTTGACAAACAAGCACCGAAAGAACAAGTGTTCAACAATTTAAGGTGCTTGATTACAGAGGAAACAACAACATCCGAGATTACTACATGCATCACCATTAGCCTGGTCTTGGTCACCAACTTCTTCCGCCAAATTAACCATGCAATAAAAACATGTTTATGTATTGCCCTTCCATCCCACATGCACTAAGCTGATGTAATTCTCTGCTCTGATCCTGAGAACCAGCTGTAGCCAGAGGCAACAGTGTAGTTCCCCTGTTTGTTTGCTTTCCATCTATTACCATCATACCCTTATCTGATTAAGTCTCGAATCTTTAAGAGCTGTTTCCACGGCCAACTAGAGTCATTTTTCAACTGCACATCCCACCAGGAAGCTTGTTTTATATAGACTTCATGAATCTAACGCACCCACAGAGAATCCTTTCCTTTGAGCTAGATGTCATTATGCTTCACAATTGCAACTTTATTCCATAGCTTAGCATCTTTTATGCCCAAATCTAACGCACCCACAGAGACACTGCTCTCCCTCCACTCCTGACACCCCATAGGAACTCTCGACAAATACTATTAACCATATTGGTTACACTCTTGGCAAGATAAACATGGATCCCCAATAGGTGTGCATCGACATTAAAACGTAGTTAATGAATAACGACCTCACAGCATAAGACAAGTGCTCTGTGCTCCAACACTTGATCCTAGCTGTAATTGAATTTATGATTTCTTGACACACAACTTGTCCATTTCTTAGGGAAAACGGAAACACATAAGTACTTCATGGGGAAAGTTCCAACAGCAAATTGAGTTACTACATATCTCATCCTGCAACCTTTGACTCATCCCACCAAAATAAATTGATGACTTCTGCAAATTTGCTACTAACCCCGAAGTCTTAGAAAATTTAAACGCCATCGTACAGAACCAAAATCCACTTTACAGAATATCATTAAATCATTTGCAAAACACATGTTAGTCAGTTTCAGCTGTTTACATATGGGATGGAACTTGAATCGACATCAGCTGCTTGCTTCTAGTTAAGTATTTAAAGATTAAAACAAAAAGTTAAGGTGTGATAGGATCACCCTGGCGCATGATCTTCCCTTGAAAA